AAATAAATAATTCATTTTTTAAAAATATTTCTGTGCAACCTGCCATAAGTACAGTTAGCATGATAATGCCTCAGCGTAAATAATGAATAAGGATTATGTTTTATTGAAAATTTTATAAAAGATATGGTGATATGAATATTTGTATCCATCTAAGATTTGGGTATAAATAATAAAAAAGAACTATTTTGTTAATTAAAAAAATCTATGGAACTGTATAAAATTATGCATTTGATTGTAGGTTGGATGTCCTGGAACAAGTTCACTCAGACATATTCTACTGAAGTTGTTGAAAGTTGTTGTTTTCTAGTTTTATACAATTGAAATGGCAGTTTCATTTTCTTCGGTTTAAAAATATTTTCTTTATTCCAAATTCTTCAATTGCCAGCATTTTGTTACTGCTGAATTTACATTTTTATTACTGTTATATGTATATATTTAAACTAAAGTGAGCACCAATTCTTTAACTGTACATAAGCTTTATATCAAATTTTGTGCAAACTATCACATTAAATGTGTGTTAATTTAAATGTTTTTAAAAATTCTTGTGTATTTTGGAGAAAATAGACAAATTAATCAAATTATCGATAACATATTGCCCATGATCTATTTTGGTGAAGAAGAAGTGCTTTAATGAACTACCTCGTTGTCGTGTAAATACCAGTGGCGCCGTACATTCTTCATTCTACATGACAAACTATAGATATAGATTAGATTTGATTTGAGAAGGTGCTGGCGAATATGTCGCTATGTCACTATATCCTTTAGGATTATTGTGGTACACCCGTTTTAATTCCATATGCGCATAGCAGTTAAAAATGCCATTATGTCCCTTGTTGCCTATTTCCGTTATAAATGGATAGGCCGAAGTGCCGAAGTCTGAGTCTAGCGAGACTATCATAATGGCACTAAATGTGTTCTGCTGTTTCATCTTTTTCGTAACATAAAAAAAAACTATGATATACACAGTAGTTATTATTTTGATTTTCTATCATGCAAAAAAAGAAACTATAGGTGTTTTCGGTAGCTCCTAAATGTGGCAAAAAACAAAAAGTTGCTTGCTTAAAACCGCTAAAATGTACGCAAATCAACAAAATTACTTTTTCTATCTATACGAGTAGTTACCCACACATCTTACCCAAAGCGTTCATCTGTTCCCAAAGCGATAAGCAATATATTGTGAACCTTAGTTGGAAATTTCAACGAATATTTCAGTGATCTATCAAAAGTTTGTAAACAAAAATTCAAACAAAATCAAAAAATTGTTAAATTAAATATTTTAAAATTATGCCTAATTGTAGAAAATAAATATTTAATAAATATACACAAATATATACAAAAATGTATAAAAGTACATGAAGAGAGTATAATTAAAAAACGATTTAATTTTTAACTTATTAGTAACTAACAAGTTAATACTTATTAAGGCATAAATATTTAAAACCATTATTAATTTTTTTGTGAAAGGAAGTTTTAATTCACTATTCATTTCAATTTTCAATTTAATATTAATTATTTATTTTGCTCTTTGCGAAAACATAAAATTTGACAGATTGCAACAGTAATGTCAATATTTTACTTAGCGACTATAGTAAGCAACTTGTTGTTTTTTTGCCATACTTCGAAAATGCCGAACGCATCTTATGTTAAAAAATTGCACCAATTTTTTCATTAGACTCCAATTAAAAAGTGATAAAAATGTTGATAAAATACTTCTCTTTCTTGGCGTTTTGATCTACCCTGGTAATGTTTTGAAATTTAAATTCGAAAATGCTTAGTTCAACTAATTTTCTAAAATTATATCTGAGAAAAATTCTTTCTCAATATTCTTGAATTATTTTTTTCTATTAAACAAAATGAAAATATTCTTTTTTATAAATATTAAGTATATATATTAAGTCGTAAATGTATTGTACACATATAATCACAAAAAAATTAAGCATATGATTTTATAATTTTGGTTAGAGATAAGACTGTTATGCTTCTGGCTTAAAAATCTAATCGAATATTGATATTTTCCAAAAATACATTAATTTTTATAAACTGCAGTCATTATCGTTATACGTTTGTTATCTAGTTATCTAAAATTTGCTACTATTTAATTAAATATTGTTTCGTTTTATATACAATGTATGTAATCTATTTACTACGAAAAGTTATTTTTATTGAACAAAATTCCTAAATTAAACATTTTGCATTTGTGGATAACTATAAAGTAGAACCCCACATAGCGGGAGTCGCACTTTTCCTGACTCTTCAAGAAAAATTATTTTATCACACCCTTTATAAATCTAAAAAAATAAGTGTAAAGCAAATATTTACAAATATTTTGATATTCTTTTATGAAAAAGCAAATGAGAAATAAAAGTATTGTAAAAATAGGATATTATAGGAATATTTTTTTTTTAACACAAACTTTTTTAAAACATAAATAAAAATTTAATAAATTTTTAATCCCTAACTACGACTTTACCAATTTACAAACTCACGTCTAATAAATTAATGTAAATCGTTACACCTATTTCGGAGGCCTTACTCTACTACATCGGACACATCTTTTCCCTTATTCTTCCCAGTGCATAGTGTTGTATTTCAATTAAGTAGAAGTAAGCAGCTAGGCTGTATTAGACTACGATTATTATATTTTATTTTGGAATCTACTCGGCAAATCAGAAGTTGCGAAACGTATTAGTATACGAATGTTATAGGAATCCCTCATTAGTTCTGCGACAGGATAGTTAGAATGAACTACCAGTCGGGAGTGATAGTTGCTGCTTATTTGCTGTATTGACTCATACACTGCAGAGATGCCCAGATCATGATGTAGGACGTCATTCGGAACATACGGCGCAGATGGCGCAGATACGTAATATTTTTGATTGAAACCTCTGAAGCATATCTAAATTTGACTTCAGTGCTATAACCCGGTATGTCCAGATTGGCTTTAGGACGACCTTGTATAAAAGTATTTTATTTTGTAGCGATAACTTGGATTTGGGATTAACTAACCAGTAAAAAGAGCGTACCTTTAGTCCTAATTGCTTCCGTTTCGTAAAGATGTGGTGACGGCAATTTAGACGACGATCAAAATGTACACCTAGATATTTGGCGTTTTCAGCTTGCGGCAATTCACGGAAAGATATGTACTGTTAATTACTTGTAAACAAAAATTTGATGTTATTTAACGTTCTGCTGCGTTTTTATAAACTTCTGAATGCTAGAAAAACATTACACAATATAATGTTAAGCAATAAAATACTTAAACGCAACGTTTAAGAATTTTTTTTTTTTTATTTTGTATTGTTCAAAAGTATTATTCGTTTTTACTTTTATTATGAGACCAATATTTTTAAATGTATGAAAGTAACTTCTTTAATTTTTGCATATTGCATTAATTTGCATAAATAAAGCTTAAGGAACTCGCAAACTAACTGATTTAATACAGCACTATTACTTCCTTAATAGCAGCTAATAACACAATTGTTAGCACTAATACAAAACAAAAAAATTTTAAATGCATTTATTTATAAATATAAACAAAACATTTTGAATCTAATCACTGAACTTTAAACCTTTTAAAATGTTATAAAAATTGAAGAAAACACTATTTACATATACAGTTACACATTTGAATTCACTCCTAAACTACGAATACACCCTAGGTCGAAGTCCTATATTGATACCACTCGCAGAACGAAGAATCAGATTTTGCATTGGTCTCACTTCTTCGCCTAAGGGTAAAAGTTCAAAATAGCGCAATAATTTACTAATAGTGCTCTTCATTTCCAATAAAGCGAACTTCTGACCAATACAATTACGTGGACCAGCACTGAAAGGAACATTTGCAAACGGATCAATTTTTTCATTCAGAAAACGTTCTGGTATAAATTGATCTGGATTTGAGAAACAATCGGGATCTCTCAAAGCTGCATAAAGTAACATAGTTATATTTGTGTTTGCAGGAATCCATTTACCATCTATAAAATGTAATTGAATCATACATTTTCACTTCGTAAAATAATTTAATTTAAACTTACCTATTACAACATCACTATCAGTCATGCGTCCTATAACTGGTACTGGTGGATATAAACGTAAACCCTCCTTAATAACAATATCTAAATACTTAAGTTCTTGTAGATCTTTCATTGTGATCGCTTTGTTCTTATCATCACCAATAACTTCTTGTATTTCATCAAAAAGTTTCTGCTGAATTTCTGGATGTCTAGCTATAAGGTAACATGTATGTGATATGCCACTTGTAGTGGTATCATGTCCTTCAAACATAAATGTATCTACTTCTTCACGTATATCTGAATTTGATAGAGGTTTGCCATCCACTGTTGATTGTAGTAGAACGTCCAGAAAAGCCATTCGCTTTTTAACTCCCACATCATCTGACATTTCTAAGCATTTTTGATTTTTATAAATAAATATTTAATGATTTCTAAAGAAACTAGTATTCAAAAAATATTTAAAATATATACCTACTATTAATATATTAAAACTTACTTATTGGTATATTACTTCCATCTGTAATTGATTTTTCCAATGCAACTCTGCGATCCTTGATAACCGTATCCGTAAAATCATGCATGAGTGCTATCTGTTTTTTTAATCTGTATGCTATATGTGGTGCAGTAATCATGAAAGATATATCATAGCGTTGATTGCCTTTAATAACACGTGTAGCAACAATTTGGGACACTCTATAAAAATTATTTGCTGAATATAGTTAGTAAAAGTGAATATACAATATAATTCTTTACTCTGTGACCGCTTTGGCATAAGGAAAATCTGGGTTTATCTGCGCATTGATCTTTACGCCCATTGCAGTTTCGGCAATTATATCTAGAGCAGTGAGACATACTACTGGAAATATATCTATGACTGTTTTACCGTCAGCCTTTTCGTATAAAGTTTTTACCAAAATTGCACTGTTTTGATCGAAAATCTCAACGAATTGTTCTAATATCTTAAAATGAAAAGTCGGCGTAAAAATCTTTCTTCTCGCATGCCACTTAGATCCTGTACTTAGAAGTAAACCATCCCCAAGCCAAGGCAGTAATAAGCTGTATGAATTGTTTTTTGATATAACATGTTGACTGCTAAATATGCTTTCGAAGAATTTAGGATCTTGCACAAAGACACGTTCCTGATTAAAGAACCATAATCTCCACATTTTACCATATTTTCTTCGCATCAATTTATTAAATTCAAATAAAGCTAAAAAAATGTTTATTGTGGTTTTGTGTAAAATTAACTATTTCTTCTTACTTTCAGTATTCAAGTTAATTAATTTTAGAACATTGCCAAAAAGCGGTAGTCCATTTGGCCCTGTTATTCCAGCATTTTTGAAAAGTTTATTTCTGTGTCGTTTATATAGAAAATCCCATATTGACAAAAACGTTAGAAAGCCTAAGAATAACTCCAAAAACATCTTTTTGGTTGTAAGGTTTATTTAATAATATTCGTTAAAACTACGAAAGAAAATATTTGTATTAATGTTGTTGGTCTTCTAGTTTGCTTTGCGATAATTTTTGCTTATCTGAGATTTTGGTAAGTAGTAGCTGTTATAATATATATAACGTCAGAAGATATTAAGGGTAACCATTTTCGGTTTCCAAACTTTGACCACATGAAAAAATACACTTCTTCATTATGAAACAACGAAATTCATCTAATTTTTTTAAAACTTTCACGATTATTGAGTTCATTTCCTAATTATAATAATTGATTCTAAGAACGCGCGTAGTCTCTTTATATATCGGATATTAAAATTTCTTAGAGGTTACATATGTTTTATCTCATCTTTTGAAAAATCTACACCTTTCCACTATCGTTTTTGCATAAATTTACTTTTACTTAAATATATGTGCCCTAATTACGCCACTAAAATGCGATATAAAGAATCGCAACCTTAAATCAAAAGACATACAACAAACAAACTAATCTAATGAACTAAAATTATTTTCTAAATAGTAGTTAATAATACAACGGTTGACATTAAAATGCTTTTATTAAAATATATACACAAAAATATTTTGAACTTTAAATTACTTGAAACATTGAACTTTAAACTTTTTGGTTTGCAGGTAAATAATATTTAGGTGGCCTTTAAACATTCTCAATCATAATAAATTTATAGATTACATAAAACTAAAGTCCAATTCCTATAGACTTGTGAATAACATTTAAAAAATTAAATATAACTATTTACACACAATTATAAATCCCAATACATTCTTAAACTATGAATATACCCTAGGTCGAAGTCCCACATTAATACCACTCGCAGAACGAAGAATCAAATTTTGCATTGGTCTTACTTCTGCACCCAATGGTAAAAGTTCAAAATGGCGCAATAGTTTACTAATAGTGCTCTTCATTTCCAATAAAGCGAACTTCTGACCAATACAATTACGTGGACCAGCGCTGAAAGGAACATTTGCAAACGGATCAATTTTTTCATTCAGAAAACGTTCTGGTATAAATTTATCTGGATTTGAGAAATAATCCGGATCTCTCAAAGCTGCATAAAGTAACAAAATTATATTTGTGTTTGCAGGTATCAATTTGCCATCTAAAATAAGTTATTAAAATTTTTTATTTGTTTTTTAAAAATTATTTACAATTTATAAAATAATTTAATTTGAACTTACCTATTACTACGTCACTATCAGTAATGCGCCCAATTATTGGTACTGGTGGATAAAAACGTAGGCTTTCTTTGATGACGATGTCTAAATACTTAAGTTCCTGTAGATCTTTCATTGTGATAGGTTTGTTCTTATCATCACCAATAACTTCTCGTATTTCATCAAAAAGTTTCTGTTGAATTTCTGGATGTCTGGCTATAAGGTAACATGTATAAGATATGCCACTTGTAGTAGTATCATGTCCCTCGAACATAAATGTATCTACTTCCTCACGTATATCAGCATTTGTTAGAGGTTTGCCATCCACTGTTGATTGTAGTAGAACGTCTAGAAAAGCCATTCGCTTTTTAACTCCCATGTCGTCTGATACATCTAAACGTTGATATAAACAAAGATATATATTAATTAACTTCTTAAGATTGAAGTAATTCAATGCACCTGATGCATCACTTATATTACATTGATAGAACTTCCAAACTTACCTAATGGTGTATTGCTTCCTTCTGCAATTGATTTTTCCAATGCAACTCTGCGATCCTTGATTACCGTATCCGTAAAGTTATGCATGAGTGCTATATGCTTATTTAATCTGTATGCTATATGTGGTGCAGTAATCATGAAAGGTATATCAAAGCGTTGATTGCCTTTTATGAAGCGTGTAGCAACAATATTAGCAACTCTAAAAAAATTGTGGTAACTAAGTATAGTAAGTTAAAATGCATGTGCAATATATTTCCTTACTCTGTGACAGCCTTGGCATAAGGGAAATCTGGGTTCATCTGTGCATTGATCCTTACACCCATCGCGGTTTCGGCTATTATATCTAGAGCAGTGAGGCATGCTACTGGAAACATGTTTATTACAGTTTTACCATCAGCCTTTTCGTATAAAGTTTTTACCATAACTGCACTTTGTTGATCGAAAATTTCAACGAATTGTTCCAATATCTTAAAATGAAAAGTCGGCGTAAAAATCTTTCTTCTCGCATGCCATTTAGCTCCTGTGCTCAATAGTAAACCATTACCAAGCCACGGAGCTACTAGATTATATAATTTATTTTTGGAAATAACTTGTTGACTGCTCAATATGCTTTCAAAAAATCTAGGATCTTGCACAAAGAGACCCTCCTGATGAAAGAACCACATTCTCCATATCTTGCCATATTCATTTCGCATTCCTTTAATGAATTCAAATATTGCTAAAACGAAAAAAATTTTTAAGTTTCTGTTATGAGTAAAATATAATTGTTTTGCTTACTCTCAGTATTCTCATTAATTGTGCTTAAAACATTGCCAAAAAGCGGTAGGCCTTTTGGCCCTGTTATTCCCGCATTTTCAAAAAACTTATTTTTTCTTCGTTTATGGATGAAGTCCCATATTAATAAAAATGTTAGAAAACCTAAAAATAATTCCAAAAACATGTTTTTAGTTTAAAGACCTGTTAAATAATATTTGTTGAAATAATAAAACAAATTATTTGTATTTATGCTGTTAATCTTTTAGTTTGTTTCGCGATAAAATGTGCTTATCTTAATGGTCTGATGTTAAGCTTGTAGTAGCGTGCAAACTGATAAAAATGAAATTTTTTTATATCAGTTCCTCTTATATTTGCGACTATATCAACAATGGATGTTTAGCGTACCTATGTACTGTTTTTAAACTTTGATCGTTTAAAAAATTTACCTTTCTTCATAAAGAAAATATATAATCCAGGAAATTTTTTCACAACTCATTATGATTTTAAAAATTTAATAGATAAATATGAGCAATATATTAATTACTGTTGCGTGGTTTTTAGTACAATTCTCTAATCTTGCTATCATGTTATTATTATTTTTTTCAGAGAACTTGTATTACGACCTTAAAACCTTATTATACCTTTCCTTGAGTTCAAAATGTTTCTCTATTTCCTATTTTACCAATCAATTACTGAATCAGCTATATTTTGCAAATCTTATTCGTCACCCGATATTAAATGATCACACAAATGATTATTTTGTTTGTATATCACTACAGTATGTGAGCATACTCCCAGTATGTCTTCACAATCTCTTCCTATCCTCTGCAAAATCGTCAAACTCTATTAAAATAAATTTACAGCTTCGTACATAAAGTTCCTTCTAAAATATTCTGTTATAATTGATTAGTTTCTACGTATATTTAATTTCTTCCAATCCTGTAACGAGTTAGGTTAAAGGTGCATATAAGCAACATTGATAGTAAGAGTTCAAATTCATTGTATCACTTTAATATTATTTTCTATATTTTTCGAAAATGAATGAGAAGAAACTCCATAAATGATTCCTTGTCTACAAGCATCAAAACAACTCGTCTTTTAAAATCAATATGTGTTAGCTTAATGCGTGGTATTCAGCTTATCAAGACATAAATATCATATTTGCAGAAAAATACCTTGATCGCTGCTTGTCTTTCTGCTACCAAGACTATTTTCTGGTTCTGATATTTATATTTATAGTCAAGTATGTGAATAATTTAAATCCGAACTTAATACTCTGCCCCGACTCCTTTTAGTGAGAGACCTAGCCGTGTAATAAATTACGATATTTTAGTTTATCTTATTTGTTCTAAATATATCGTTCAAATTATTTTTTCCAATCAACTATTACAAAACTAAAGTTTATATGCATCGTATCTCACCATATTATAATATCAAAAAGTTGCTTTGAAAGAATCTTCTTACGTTTTAAACAACCACCTTCGCCAATGTTATCTCTAATTTTCATTAGAATGGTTCTCATTGTTTGAATAGGAATATGAGAGGATATAAGCTCTTAGATAACCCTAGTAATTATATGTTATATGTTACATGAGGTTTATATTTTAAATTTTATATATATATACTAGGGAACTTTGCCTACTACAACCTATATTACATTTATACGTACACTTTTATATTTAAAACTTTATATAAACTTTATATGAATTCTATCAATTAGCCATTATTTTTGAAACTTGTAATATGTGGATAGCCAAGGATAAATGGAACGGAACGGAACGAAACGTATATGGCGCTGCTGTAGTGTGCCCAAAGAAATATGTTATAATCAAAAGAGGTTCCATAGGACAATGAAATAAAAAAATACTGTTCAAATCAGTACATTTTAGATTATTTCATATAATGACATTCTTTGTTTCGCTCTAGGAAATTTATTACTTTGCAGCTATTTATTTGGCTCTTCAGGTTTTGTGCTTGAGAGATTTGTTCATTATCATAGTTCCTTGTACCGCACATTAGTTATTAAAAAATATGCTATTCTTTG